TGGGGACATGGGGGGACAAGGTGAATCAGGGAGAGAGGACAGAGGGACGTGAAGACAAGAGGGATATGGGGACATGGACATCGAGGCACAGGGGATGTGGGGGATGTGAGGGGACGAGAACTGTGTCAGGGACAGGGGGACATGGGGACATGGAGGATGTGGGGATGTGGTGACATGGGGGAACGAGCTGTGTCAGGGACAGGGAGATGGGGACATGGGGGGACATGGAGGATGTGGAGGACAAGAACTATATCAGGGACAGGAGGACACGAGGGGATAGGGGAACACAGGGGGACATGGGGGGACGTGGGGAACCAAGGTGGAGCTGGGCGCACGAGCAGGGGCAGTGCTGGACAACAAGGGCTGAGAGGGTGAGCGGAATTCCCGATGGAGGACCCCAAACTGGAGAGCCTGTTTGGGTTTGGGGTGAGCCATCCCCGAACTAGAGAGCCTGTTTGGGTTTGGGATGGGGATTGGGTCACCCCAAACTGGAGAGCCTGTTTGGGTTTGGGATGGGGATTGGGTCACCCCAAACTGGAGAGCCTGTTTGGGTGTGGGGAGAAGGAATTGACTGCTGTGACAGAATGAATCCTGCAATATTCCATAACTGAAATATCCCATCCCGCTCTCCTCAATCCGCTGGGATTTGTGCACCATGGAATTAAATCCCTTGGCACATCCCCTTAGAGGGTCCCTGAATTCCCAGCTCCAGGGTGAGGGGAGGGGAGCTCAGAGCCCACCCTGGGCAGGGTCTGGGTCCTTCTGGAGGCTTCTCCTGCACAGCAGAGCCCCAGGAACAGAAACTGGATTTTTTTCATGGCCAACAAGAGCAACAAAAACTAACTGGGAAATCCAGAGTGCTCCGTGTCAGGGAATGAACTGCACTGCACAGAAATAGGGTGGAAAGTTAAAAATCAGCATTTAATAAACAGCCAATTACAGAAATTACTTAATTACTGCTTGGGAGGAGGCTTCTGTTGTGCTTTTCTGCTGAAAGTCAGATAATTTCATTTTAGCTGAGTTTTGAAAACGAACGTGAAACTTCAGAGTGTTGAGATGAAAGGAACGAGCACCTCTGGGCAGCATTTCCTTGGCTCAACACTTTCTGACAAAAAAGAAGTGTCTGAAAAGTGAACCAAACCTTTGATTTTACTTCGGATTGGACCCTGCTCCAGGTGCTGGGACAGAATTTTGGCTGGGCACTCCAATCCAAAGTAAAGTCAAAGGTTTGGCTCAAACATCCTTGACAGAAAACGTCCCTCTCATCCCCTCTCTCCAACTGGTCCCAGTCAGCCCCAACCATGAGATTCCAGCACCCAAAAGAGATGTTTGGGTATCAGTTCTACCAAAACCACTTAACCAGAAGAAACACTGAAAGAAAATACTCCCGCAAGAGTATTTTCCTACTTTTCAATAAAATAATCCTGCATAATTTTTGCTGTATTTTCGAGTAATCTGCGAATGAAAAATGGTTTTGCTTTTAACACATTCACAACTTGCTGGGAAGGAAAACAAAAATCACCAAGTTTGCATGGAAATATCATCTTTGGGGAGGAATCCACCTTCTGTCTCAGGTCCGGAAGCCACACTGAACAAATTTATAAGGTTACAAAATTCAACTTCCTAGAACAATTCCATTGTCACACCAAATCAATCACTAAAAGAAACGTTTGGAGTATTTTTCCCTGAAACCCTTTTTTTCCCCTTTTATTTTCCATGAGATCTCCCCTTAAAAAATGCCGTAAAGAGAATTTTAAGCTCAGTTCGAGATTGCAGGGAGTGAGATACTGGCTGACAATGTAAGAAGGGGACAGACCAGAAAGAAAAAGCAAAGAAAAGGGGTCCAAAGGTAAACTGGAGATGTCTCAGATGGGACCAAAACCACACAAAGCCCAGCCCAAATCTCCTCTCCCCCAGCCCTGTTTTGTTCCCCAGCACCAGGTGCAGAAAGGGAAGTACAGGCAATAATTACATTTCTATTTCTTCCAATTTCCTATTCCCAAGCTGCTTTGTTGTTACAGGGAATTAATTACGAATTGCTATTGTTGAGTTAATTTCTGTGGGTAATTAGAGCAATGAATGAGGCAGGAGGAGGGAGGG